TTAGAAAATATTTTGTAAAGAAAAATTGAAGGAATGCGATTGGTTTCCAAAATTAGATATTTGTAACATGTTTAGACATTAAGCGCATATTTGTAGTTACGCCTCCTAGCTGGTTGCACACATGCAAAATCAATATTATTTTTTCTGTGATAAAAAATAGGAAAAAAAATCGACCACGAACAACATCGTTACTTAATTAAAACTATTTTATGAAACAGAAAAACTCATCGCCATACTATTTATGGGGTTAATGCAAAAACTTATATCTCGTGTCTTTTTACGGCCAACCGACTTACCTAAAGACCTCTTTGGGAATGTTGTAAAACAGAATATATACTTTGATTGTCTGTTGTCTGTAAAACTGTCAGAAACTCTAGGACCTCGGACCCGTTTTTTTCTTTTTATAGTAAAAGAAGTAAGCGAGCATGTTTATGTTGCCAATTCTGATATATAAACTACTAGGTTTTGAGCGCGGCTCCACCCGCTTGCATGTCGGTTAATGCGGTAAAAAGAAGCCTCCTTCTTCTTCCTCAAAAATTATGTTCTTGTCAAATTTCATTGAAATCGGTTCAGCAGACAGAGGCTACTTATCACCGCGATAACCAACACACACGCGGGCGGAGTCACCAACAAAAGGTAGTTTACATTTATTTTAAAGATCAGTTTATATAACAGCAACGGCGAAAACATTATTCATGTGCAACAATTCTGTATAGGTCAGTTGTTTCTGGATGCGATCCAGGAACCTTTGGATTTAGTCCAATTTTCAAGTTTTTTGTGCATAAATAAGTTACATAAGATATAGCTTCAATTCGACAGCCTCGATGGTGCATTAGTAGCGAATGTGACTGCTGTGGTGAGGTCTCGGGTTCGATTCCCGAGTCGGACCAAATGTTTGTATGATCTGCAACTATTATGTATTTACATAAAGAAGTAAATCTGTATTCTATCAGTCAATAAAGTTTTTATAGTACAAGCTGCTCTGCTTAGTTTGTAACTAGATGGTGTTGTGTGTCAGATGTCCCAAATATTATAAAAAATAAAAAAAATTGAGGGGTTTGATATCGTTCATCGAAAATGGTAGAATTTTACTACTATAATAAATCGGAAAGTCTGAATGCATGTTTTGTACTTAATCACGGCAGAATGGCTAAGCGAAAGAGAAAGAAAAGAAGGAAGGAAGAGAAAGGTTGAAGATCTGTATGAAATTTGGCACAGAGATAGCTTACTGATTAGATTTTTCAGCCTAGAAAAATGGATTGATAAAATCAACATAACAGAGCGAAGCCCCAGGAAAAGCTAGTACTTAGATAATTATCTCATAACTTCGGACTTTCAAAGTATTTCTTTATGTTGAAAACAATACTTACGGAATTATTTTGTACTTAAATGTATGTGCACTTAAATTAATTGAAAATGAACTTACTGGTTACTAGTGTAGTGTGACTCCCACATACAAAAAAACAGGAACATACTACAGCGCCATCTAATGAAGACACACCGAACTACGGAGTAACTACTAAAATAAGAATTGCTAATCCTGTATCGCGATATAAAGAATTCCCTCGCCGATTAGCATATATACAACTTCCCAACATCAACCGTTGGGCCGCGGCCCGCCAGGCATGATCACCTCGCCTGGTCGGAGGATCCTCCCTTTGTGTTGGAGGGACATGACACCCGTTCCTCCACACTAGTGAATGCTTCTAGTGATGTATATACTTATAGCAACTGGCTTCCGCCCGTAGCTTCGCGATTTCGGTAACCGTGATCCTGTACTGAGGGCTGAGTGCGAGTTTATTTCATATCTACTCGCTGTCGACGGCGAGTGCGTTTAGCGTTGCGATTGGTGGAGATTTCAGAGCGGGCCAATCGTAGCGCAGAACGCAGTTACCGTGACGATCGAGTGGAAGTGAAATAAACTCGCACTTGGCCCTCTGTACTGTATTTTACATTTTTTTAATGTATCTCTGCTGGTTTACACGGCGTTGCTCCCAGTAGACAAGTTTTTTGCGACCTCTTCAACAATTTAATCATTATGTTTTAGTCAATTTACATAAAAACATAATGAAATATACACCTAAACCTCCCTCAGGAATCACACTATATATTGGTGAAAACCGTACAAAAATCCATTCGGTTGTTTTTCAGTAAATCGCGTTCATACAGACATACAGACGCGGCTTCATTTTATAATATGTAAGGATACGATACGATATGACGGGCCTGTTGGTCTAGTCTTTAGTGACCCTGACTGCTAAGCCGGACGTCGTAGGTTCGATTCCCACCCAGGACAAATATTGTGTGATGAGCACGATCATTTGTTCTGTGTCTGGGTGTAATTTATCTATAATATGTGTGTATTTAAAAATATATAAGTATGTTTATCAGCAGTCTGGTTACCATAGCACAGGCTCTGCCTAGTTAGGGATCAGACGGCCGTGTGTGAGATGTGTGAGGTATATTATTATATTATACATCACACCCACACTTCTTCAGTAGCAGAAGAAAGGTAATCTACAACTGGGGTGATTGGAGAAATTTCGAAGAAAATTGGTAACGTGGAACTAATGTTAATGAAAGAAAGAAAGATTCTACAATTACATTTATTTAAAATAGACGATTTGAATGTACCTTCATACACAATGTGTGCAACCGGCTCGCAAATGTAAAGTGACGCAATTTTTTTCTTGCTAATAAAAAAAACCAATGCGAAATATTTGAATTATTATATCGTCATCGTAAATGCGTTTTCATTCATTTGGAAGTGTTGCCTTATAACCGTTTTGTACATAAAGAAATAAATAAAAAAACGTTAGTAGGAAATAAAGTACACTCATTGGCTTCGACCATTCGTTTTATTTATTGAGCGTTCGACCTTGTCGTGTTTCCTGTACCCTTAAATAAAATAGCTTCATTAAAAAACCCGGAACAAAAAAAAAACCCTTAAAAAAGAACAACTGCTCGTTGAGATTGTTCTAATGAGCCCAAACATGGTATATATGTTTTACAGTAATTTTCTGAGGAGTTGGCTATCCCGCGGACTACTGGATGCAGCAGCAAGTTCCAGATTAACATGTCGTGGAAATACCATCAAAGTAACATTATACTAAATTTCAAAACAATTGGACCTGTGGATTTTAGTGACATCCCTTCATCACCTGGAAAGTGAGTGGATGATCTTCAAAATTAATAGCTAAGAACCATATCATCGGCTTTCGAACAAAAAAATCCGCATCGAAATTGGTCCATCCGTTCGGGTGCTATGATGCCACAGACAGACATACAGATACACAGATACGCAGGTTAAACTTGTAACACCCTTCGTTTTCCGTCGGGGGTTAAAAAGTAATAAGAATCATTATCCTCAACAGCCTCTAACAGACCACTGCTGGACATAGGCTTCTCCTTAGAAAGGAGGTTTTGTCCCACAATTCCACGCTGGCCAGACGGGTTGCTATAAGGTTTGTTTCAAGATTTCCCTCTCTTAGCAGTGCTGTTGTCCAGCGTAGTTTGCTCCCTTAGTCGGTTCCTACGACACCCACGGGGAGAATAGGGGTGGTGACACTTCGTATTCTTAATCCGTAACGCGGACATCGTTACGACACGACATTAAAAAAAATCGAAATTTTTGAATATCTTATTTGACTGTTTACGTTAAGTGTTAAAAAAGAAAAAAAAATGGGTTATAGCAGTTCATGTTTTTAGAAACACAGTAATCATTAAATAGATTTAGGAACCTCATTAATATTCGATCGATTTCGTCTTTATTTCCCTTAGTTTCCCTTTAGTTCCCTTTTTCCTGTACGGTAATCCCCTCAGATATCACCCACCGCTGGGGTGATTATAAGGGACTCGAATCGACCAAAAACAGCACGCCGTCTCGGGTACCCATAGCCGGGGGACCAGAAACGAAATCCCTTGTACCCTTTTTTTTTTTTTCTTTTTCCGTGCGGTAATCCCCTCGGATACCACCTGTCGGTGGCATGTCGGACTCGAACCGACTAAAACCGCACGCCGTCTCGGATACTAATAGCCGGGGAACCAGGTATACCCTAGAAAGGAAGGCCCTGGTACCCCGACATACCTCGGGTCATCCACAGACGAGTAGACGACCCCCCCCCCCCCGTGTGGGAACCCCATGTTCCCTGTGCTCCCTGTCGGCCACGACCCACAGCTTCACAGAAAACCGGTGTTACCTACTTCTTTAGTTGCTTTAGTTGTTCTCCACTGATGAGGTTACCGGAGCTCAACCCCCCCCCCCCCCCGACCCTCCCCCCCCCACTTCGTAACGCACTAGTGACTCTTAAGTTGCAGGTGTCCATGGGCGGCGTCACTTATCATCAGATACAATAATATGCAATGATATTATAAGTTACTTTTAATATCATTGATCAGATACCATAAAAAGCAACAGTGGCACTCCGGAACTGCCAACAGAAGTGAAAACTAGTTTTTTTATTTTATTAAAACAGGTTCTTTTTATTTCGTTTCGAAAAGTTCCGACATGAATATTTATCTCTGCTGTATGTATATACATAATATATGTTTATATTATCAATGTATTTCAACCCAAATTCTGTTTCTTTTTGTTGTTCAAATGTCAAACGCCCAACGCGTCTTTAGCAGTTATCACTTCAAAAAATAGTGGCACGCCGGGTGCGCCGACAGAAGTGAAAACCTACATACAGAGGTGGCGGAAACGGTAGCACTGTCTTGAGTCCAATTGTATTTCCCATCTTAAAAAATGCCCAACGCGCTTAAAGAAGATTTCACTACAAAAATAAGGCAAGGAGAAGACAGCCCAAGAATAACTCACAAACGAAAACTAAGTAAAATATATATATATTTAAACAATATTTAGGTAAGTACACAATATTTTTGTAGACATAACTCCGATTATACATAATATAAATTCGATAGAAAGGTATTATACACATTTATTTCATTTGGATAAATTATTATACAAAAATACATCCGCCAATAATAGGGATAAAGAATTACGGATCGCGAGTAACAAGTCCAGCAGGGCCTTGACCTATAACTGGTGCCAAGCCAGCCACAGCCACTGCTTTCAGGGGCCTGTAATACAAAAAAATATTACAGCGCCACCTACAAATATATTTAGAAACCACTTGAGGCTGGTATAGTGTTGCCATCTATGTTCTTTTAGAAAAATCATTTCGTACGACTGTGTTTGAATCATAAGCTTTTTTTAAGTATCACAAGAAATCGCTAGATGGCATTATTCTGATTCTTGTATTTTTTTAATGTGAGGGGTTTCTTTCAACGTGTTCCTAAAGACTATTATAAAATTCATATATTTAATGTATTGCTACTTATTCGTTTTAATATTAATGTGAATTATGAAGCATTTATAAATCAAATACAATTATTTTGACTCTGTATTCTCTTATCTCAGCCAATTAATAACAATAGGTGTCTTATACCTCTACAACAAATGTCAGCTTGAAAACTTAAAGTAAATTGAAAAATAACAAAAAAAGTTTTAAGGAAATTGCAATATAATATAAAGGAGCCTTTATACTATAACTTGTAACTGTAAATCTTAATACATACTTAAAACCAAGTTCTTCAGCCGGTACACCCAACTTAGCAAGCTTGGCTTCATAAGTTGCTAGTAGATCGTCATGGGCTTTACGTAGGCGAGCTGCTTCGTATCGTAGATCTTCTATTTGAGTGTCTTTGTGCTTCAGGAGTTCCTGAATAAGAATACAGAAAGATAAAAAAAAAACATTGTAAACAAACGTAATGTAGGGCGCCCTGCGGCACGCTGGAAAGACGATTTGTGGAAAGTGGCTGACAGCAGATAGATGCGGACTGCACGAGACCGGGATAGTTAAAGTTAGCCGGGGGAGGCCTTGTTTCAGCAGTGGACGGCGAGGGGCTGCTGATCATGATGATAATGATGACACCATTGTTAGAGTTAATGATACAGTTAATTACCAAACGGCGCTGGCGGCCTTATTGCTACGAGTAATCTTTTCCAGGCAATTTTTGAATAGATCAGAAATATTACGAGAGACTGTTGGGGGAATATTTATTTATTATAATGGAAGACCAACAGCGATAACGACGACGACGAAACGAATAGTTTCTTAGATTAGCGTATTTAACCAAAGAAACAAACAAACTCTTCAGTTTTATAATTGGTGTATATTTCTTTCATGAACTGAGAGGTCTCCAGAGCTAGAGATGGGACTATATCCAGTTACATCTCTAGCTCTGAAGACCTCTGTAGTAGAGTATAGTGTGTGCGTGTCTATAGTAAGAGTACCTACATACATACCTTGGTCTCAATCAAGGTACGTATGGAGGCAAGATTTAAGTAAAGGTATGGAATAAAAATCTTTTTCAATGTTTCTCAACATTGTAAAAGGTTGAGACTTATAACGCCATCTGTTAGGGAGTAAAGGAACTAATTGAGAAGGTTCTTTTCAAAACTTGACTATTCCACTTTTTGTGTTTTTTCACAATCTGAGAAAATAGTTTTGTAGGTATGCAGCTATGTTTTTAACCCGAAATTTTGATGCATCATTGTAGACGACAACAATAGTCATTGCTTTATATAGGATTCAAAAATTTGGAACTAATATACTTATTTTAAATGAATCCAAAATTTGCAATGGAATAATCTAGTTTTGACGCAGCTGATTGGAATAATCAAGTTTTGTTATGGGCTTTGGAGGAATAATCATGTTTTGATTCAAACCCCTGTAGATTAATCTCGTTTTGCTGAAACTAATTAGGTATCAGAAATCTTATTGTTTAATTGAAATAACCCGAGGTTCATCTTTTTCTCTAAATAAAAACTTTTCTTTTTCACTAATATGTCAGGTGGTTACTTCGGCGCCACCTGGTATGCCATTGTGCATACCACTAACATATTACTAACTGATGATAGTAAATGACTACTCACTGATAAATTTTTAGACAGTAAAGAACATAAATGTCTGACTGAAAAATGTAGGGATAAGACATGTTTTATTGCAATTTAGATTAAAACTCTATATTAAATAACTTCTGGATTAAACATATTTTGTTTCAAAAATGTGTATTTAAAATGAATAATGTCATTTTGACGTGGAATAATCTATTTTTGACGAAATCATGCCTTTTAATTATTATTTTCTGGTGTAATTATCAAGTGTTGGCCCAATTTTATTTTCGCGGAGTGTGAGTTTGAATGTTACGAAACAAAAAATAAATAAAAAATCTGTTTCATCAAAAGTGGAATAGTCAAGTTTTGAAAAGAACCTCCTCAATTGTTACAGAATACTATGTTCTGTTGTAGAAGTTCCAGATTTGTGTCTAGTCAGTCATCCTATTACAAGTTTTCGAGAAGTTTACAAGTAACATTATAGATGTAACCGTTTACCACAAGGTAAGCCTAAACAAAATAACGAAATTTATACAGAAATTCATTCTCACATGGATCTCTGTAGGTGCAGTGGCTCTTCCTTCAATATTCTTCAACTTGGTTTCGAGCAGAGCGGTTTTCAACGACGCTCTCTGTTGCACTTCGAGAACAGCTCTAGAGAATCTGGCCTTTAGTTCATTTCGTTCCTTCTGGATGCGGTCGAACCGGACTTGGAGCACTTCATACTCCCATTTAAGAACCTCAAATTGTTTTTCCAGTACCGCAAGCTGTTTCGTTTTAGCCTGAAAAATACATTTTTGCTTTTTATATAAATACATATATTTATTTATTGATACATACATGAAACGGACACAAAGAATACCCAGACTCAGAACAACAATTTGTGGAACACACAAAGTGTCGTCCCATGTGGGGCTCGAATCCACAACACTCATCGTTAAACCACTACCCCATCCGTGCAGAATAGGCCTAGAATTAGGGTCCATAAGGCATGGGCGGTTAAATAGGTCTCTGTCGACCCTATCGGGGCTAAAGACGTGTGTGTATGAGGTGATTTTGCCCACGGCTCCGCCTGCGAGTATGTCGGTTGTCGCGGTAAAAAGTATGTCCTTTCCCGGGACTCAAATTGTCTTTAACCAAATTGCGTCTGAATCGGTTCAGCAATTTCAGCGTGAAGAGAGGAACAGACAGACAGACAGACACACTTTCGCATTTATAATATTAATTAGGATATAGGATGCAATATTATAGTACTTACAGCCAACGCAGCCTTATCTCTGTCATAGTTGGCCATTTGTCTTTTAAGTTCTTTGTTATCTATGATAGCAGCTTCAAGCGGTTCCCTGAGGCCTTTAGCTTCGGCAACTGCATCTCTTGCAATCTTTTCCGCCCTCTCCTTTACTTTTTGCATGCTCTCCATCTGTGTCCTTAAACTGCTAATAAGGCCTAAAAATATATAAAGTGTGAGTAATCAAAAATTCTGAAATGTACTATTTTCTAGCTACTAATAATGTTAAATAATAATAAATGAGGTAATCATTGGTTTCAACTTTAATAATTATCAAAGTGACAGCCGTACAATTGTTATAACTGGTAAGCTTGGTATGTATTGGTCACTCTTTTTTTCTGTGCGGAAATCCCCTCGGATTCTACCCGGACCGGGAGAGTTTTAAACCACTCCGGGTCCCGCTCCGCCATCTCCTTCGTATGCATAACTTGCTCGCAGAAGGCGATGGTGGAGTTCCAAGAGTTCAGCCATCGTGTAAAGCGACGTGTCCACGGTCCGGCCATCGCAGTGGTATACCACCCATGCCACCCATGTCACTCACCCTTTTATTGTTTTCGCCCCTAGAGTTAGAGGGGCTGATGATCGCGCTTCCGTCAGCCTCTCTTACTCAGCGAAAAGTGACGAAAGAATTGCTTAGCACTGGTTTTCTGTGAGGCCGTTGTATCACTCAGGTCAGGCCGACCCATGTGTGCATGGCTTTCCCACGGCAAATATAATATTTAATAGCATTAATGAATGAACTCACCTAAATTGTTTAGTGTGATATCGTTATAATAATTTTTCAGATCTGCAAAAGCTCTCTCATGATGAGAAATTAATTCTGATAATTGTTTATTTTTCCTTTCTTCTACCTCCGCCATTTCAGTCCTATGTTTGACAGTTAACTCAACTTTTGTTTCATTAAGTTTTCTTTCAGCTTTATCTTCTATTTGTCTGGCTTTTTCTTCGAACACTGCTCTTGCTTTGGATAATTCTTCTGCATGCACCAGTTTAGCTCTTCTCAATTCATCTTGTGCTGCTAACATATGCTCTTTAATTTCTTGTCTCAATGCTCTTTTATCGTTTAATAATTCTAACTCTTGTTCAGTGTGTTCTTCTTTTGCCGCTTTTAGGGCCACTAAATTTTCAGCTCTCAAAGCGGCTGCAGCAGCTTGTTGCTCATACTTTAGGTGTTTTATTTTTTGCTTTTCAGTTTCTAACAAAGCTTCATTCTCTTCTTGTGTCTCTTCTGTGGCTCTTTCTTTATTTCGTAATTCTGCTTTCGCCTCTTCCAGTTGTTGTCTAGTTATTTCCCAGAAAGTACGTATTTTATCTCTTTCCAATTGGAAGTAGTTTCGTTCTTCTCTTTCTTTATCTAATTCTTCTTTAACTTTAAGAGTGAATTGTTCGAGTTTTTCTCTCGTCATTTCCGATGTATCGACGCCATCGATGATGATTACTGAAATTGCATATATTTTTAAATGATCATAGCTTTAAGTATTTTTGTCAACTATTACTGCTACGGGACAGTCGCGACGTTAAGTCCTTTCAGGCAAATTGTTATGGGATATTTCGTAAGGAATCAACAATTGAATGGAGTTTGGAGATGGTAGAGTAGGTACATCACTAATTGATTACATGGGTTTGTAGTAGTAGCACTGAATGTATCTAATTAAAGTAGAAAAGGGGAACGTAGAAAGAAGAAGTAGCCGAAAGTAGAAAATGGGAACCCTATATTAGGCAATTCGCATTTTTCTTCACTGGAAGCAGGAGGCGAGGGGGAGAGAGTGCACGCTGTGAGTCGGAGATAGTTTATCTAATTCAATATTAATATAATAACTGCAACTAAATAAATTTGTACTATCATACCTGGCGGCTTTTTAACTCCTTTTCCTTTTCCTTTCGGCGCCTAAAAATATAATTTATATTATAAACACATATAGGAACCGGCAAAAACTCAAACATATATAAAAGTTTTGTACAACTTACCATGTTTATATTATAATTTATAGAAAAACAGTTTTATGAAGGTTATATCAACAAAATATCTTTAGAAAGTGACACGAAAGCCGACAACGTCGTCAAGATAAACAAAGTTGTTGATATGGCGACTATCACACTTCAGGCCATGAAATTAGTTAAATCGATAGCATCGAATAAGAGGCTTTTATCTTCTCAATTATTTTTCAAGTGTTCATATTTTGAAGCTTTGTAGCTTCAACGGACTTTGCCATGTAACGTAACGTTTCTTTTTCAATTTTCAAGAATTTGTTAGCCAAGTAGTTGTGAAGGCTTTAATCGTCGAACGAGCCTACCGCCACGAGTGTTTCTTTTTCCCTGAAAATTGCAATAAAGGTTTTTTCGCTAGAATACCAAGGTTATTTTGTGAGGTGATGGTCGGTAAAGCGCTAGCAAGTTCTGTGATACACTTCTTCCTGTGATTTCAGGAGAAAAGTGGGGAGAAAAATGACCCAAAAAAAATTCAGGCTTAGTAACTAATATATTACTATTTGCTGCTTGTTTGTTCACAGATAACTTAAAAAATAATACCGTAATGATATATGTAAGTACATACTTGTTACCTAACACATTTACATATTTCTTTTTTAGTTTGTAATCAACTAATGAAAACGAATTATGCATCTGGTCTGGTCAGATTGATTGATTATTATCTGTTGAATAAATAAAAAACAAACCAAAAAGTTAATTCTACAGTCACAACTCTTAATTGAACCTTTTCGGGAAAAAGTAAAAAATATGAAGTAAGTATCATCTGTCAAGAAATATTGTCAAAATCAATCTAAATTATTGTGCAAATAATGAAAATTCTGTGAAAAAAAAGAGTCCAAAATGTTGGTGTACTCCAACAGTGTAGCATACGGGAGTGCCATCCTTAGCCTGTTTGTGATAGATTATATGCTGGGACATGGGTTCGTCGATGCAGTTCGGAGAACTCTTTGCAGAATGATATGTTTCGTTAAAAGGATCATAAAAGAGGAATCGAAGACTGTGCAAACGGCACCAGATGTGCCAATCAATTTGCCTGTGCTCCTAGTTGAAATTCTATTGCTTTCTTTAATAATAGCTGTACGTATTGTCTGTTAATGGATATTATAAGCTGACATGTACCAATTGTACTACTTGCAGACATTTTGATGGCAAATCTATCTTTTGATATTAGCAACAGGACATCTAAAGACTGGTTGAAATTTATTGGCTCCTTGTCAATGTAGTAGCTGTCATTCCAGTAATATTTCCATCCTAGTTTTTGTTCTTACTCCAGATTATTAGGAGTGCTGAATTATGAAACGGTTGAACTCGTAAAACGTATCATACGAGACTTGATATAGTCGTTTTAACGAGCCCAATAGCTTCTACTAGAGGAGAAGCCAGGAAATTGATAATAGAAGTCATTTTCGCTTTTAAATTCGGTTCACCTGTAAAGTGTGTGGTTTTTGTTGTTGACCTAGAATTTTTATAACTACTGCAGTGCTATTCTCTAAGGAAACAGCCTTTCGTACAGCGCTGCCACAGCGTCGAATTTTAAACTCAGTTTGTTTGAAATTAGCGCTGCTACAGCGTCGAATTTAAAACTAAGCTAGTTTAGAATTCAACGCTCATGCAGCGCTGTACGTAAGGCTGTTTCCATAGAGAATAGCACTGCTGATCATGTCTGTGTATTTTTTATTTTGGTACCGTTTAAATTACTTCTTTCAGTAGCGTATTTTAGGTATGTTGTCTCCTTCTGCTCCTTCTGTTGTCTGGGTGTAATTTATCTGTTATATATATTTATTTATATCATCATCAGTATCAACAGCCTTTACTAGTCCACTGCTGGACATAGGCCTCTCCTTAGAAAGGTGGTTTTGGCCTACTATACCACGCTGGCCAGACAGGTTGGTATAGAGTTTGTTTCCAATTTTCCTTCTCTTTTCAGTATTGTTGTTGCTTGCGTAGTTTGCTCCCTTAGTCGGCTCTTACAATACCCACGGGATGAATAGGGGTGGTGACATTGTATTCTTAATCTGTCACCACACGGATAACTTATTTATATAATTTATTACTTATTTATATAATTTACTTATAATTATATATATGTGTGTTTAAAAATATGTAAGTATGTTTATCAGCAGTCTGGTCATAGTATAGTACAGGCTTTGCCTAGTTTGAGATCAGACGGCCGTGTGTGAGATGGATGAGGTTAATATTATTATCGTTGTTTTGTTTCAGTTCTTAAATAAATACAAGCAGTCACGTAACAAGGATCCAATTGACGACCTTCTCAAGAAGAGCAGAGACGCTTTGAGACAGACCAACGAGTTTCTAGACAAATGGCGACTAAAACGGGTAACTTATATTAGTTATTGATTGTAACATTTATTCGTTTTCCTTTTATATTTGACCAGCTAACCTGCACAGCTTCATCAGCATCTCTCATATGGAATATTTTTTCCCGCTTTGTAATATTTAATTGATGCTCGGCTCCTATTGGCCGTAGCGTGATGTTATAAAGCCTTTCTCGATAAATAAGCTATCCAACACTAAATCATTTTTCAATTTAAACCAGTAGTTCCTGAGATTAGAGCGTTCAACCAAACAAACTCTTCAGGTTTATAATTTCAGTATTGTTTCATATCTATGCAGACTGATCTGACTGTTTTTATATGCAGTTACTCTACCTTTCGTTTACTCCCAGTCTCCAGAATGTTACCGCTACTTTTAGCGTACGGTGTCAACTCGTAAATCGAGTTACCAGAACTCATATCTAATTGAGGGACTCCACTGAAGCTCGAAATGTTTATAGCCTAAGAGTACCAATTTTTATAATGATTTTACCATATACTTTACTTAGATTTTACTATATAATTATGTTAACAGGTCCCATTAGACTACTCATACATGGAAGACGATCCAGTAGATCTTAAACCATTGAAACTGGAGGTACCAGTGCTCCATATGGCTGTTTTAGATGTAAGTACTGTTCGACTTTATAAGTATACGACACTGGACAAGGCAGTTTAGTTTTCAAGGTTAGTATAGTAGTACCTTTTAAATACTAAAAATTAGACACTATAATAGCTAAGATGAGCTAAGACATGTCGAACTAAAGGCTGGAAGGACTAAAATTAAACTTTCACAGGATCGACGGGTCTTTTGCAACCTTCATTTATTGATTCCTTTATTTATTAATTACTTATTTTCCAAAATAAATTTTGACACGAGGTGTAGGTCACGTCAACCTCACTACCGAAGCTTCACTTGAATGTGCATCTGTATACTTATTACTTCTATTTTTTATCTTATTGCTAGTATATGTGACCTCTACAATGAATTGTTACAACATTTGAACAGTCTTGACATATTTCATCATCATCATCATCCTAAAGCCTCTCCTTAGAAAGGAGGTTTTGGTCTACTATACCACGCTGGCCAGACGGGTTGGTATAGAGCTTGTGTCAAGTTTTCCTGCTGTCTGCAGTGCTGTTGTTCTGCGTAGTTTTTTCCCTTAGTCGGCTCTTACGACACCCACTGGATGAATATATATGACATATTTAATTAGAAATAAACAATTTTACGCATATTTTGTCATCAACGTTAGTCTAATTTGTTATACATTTTAAATTTTAACATTATTTTTATGTTAAACTTTTAATGTTGTATGTAATCTAAGAAAAAAAAAAAAAAAAAAATATATATATATATATATATATATATATATATATATATATATATATATATATATATATATATATATATATATATATTATATGAAGGTATAAAACTTTATAATGAAATACCTGATGATATTACTAAAAGTGATAGCTTGTATAAATTTAAAAAAAAATTTGGAGATTACATTAGGATAAAGTACTGACTCTAATGAAGTTGTCTGTATATCTTTAGTTTTATGCTACTGTAATATGTGTTTTATACTACTGTGTATTGAGATCACAGAGATACTTAACTAATTTATTGTGTTGTTACATTTTCTCATTATGTAAGTGAACTGTATTGTTCTTTTTATGAGAAATAAATGTCTCTAAACCGAATCTCGTTTTGTATCACCTACATTGCCATGTTGTGTACACATAGCTAAGATCGAAACTGTTAGTGTTCGTTATTTAAATAATATATAATAGTAATAATACTAAGTATTGTATTATGTTCTGTTTTGTGTGCCTAAATAAAATAAAAAAATAAAATTCTAAATCGAATGTTAACTAAACACGTACGTAAAATCATGAACGTGAATTAATTATTGAAGCCATTACGATAAATTTTATAAAATGGATGAAACCAACCCAGTTAGGTCTAAACTAAAAGACGAATATTATAGTTTGTGTAATTTGTTTTTCAGAATATCAGCGTAGGAAGAAGTCAGCCAGAACGGAGAGATGCTGGTGACAGTGTTGAAATGTCAGATACAGCATTGCTGTCGGTGACGTCACTTGTCAGTGATGACTTTGATTTTAGATCAGTAAGTGAGCCAATATTAGAGGATAAGTCATCCGAAGAGACGAAGAACATAGAATTCAGAAATAGATACCTTTGGGATGTGATGGAAGAAGACGCTAACAGTTTGGATGAGTAAATTGCAATAGTTCTGTCTGCTGTTTCCTTCATTTGATTGTTATTATGTCTTTTTTTATCTGATTATGTGTTTTATTTCATTTTTCACATTTGGTTATTAAGTGTTAGGATCGATAGGATAGAATTGACTGCAGGTATGGTGTAGTGGTTTAAGCGGTCGCTACGCCGCTTCCTACTACGCTGAGTGAGATCCACAAATTGTCGTTCGAGTTCGAGTTCGAGTCTGGGTACCCGCGACACAGGATATATTCCTAGTGCGGGAGTAATCACAAAAAAGGACATTATTGCCATCAGTCAAAGTGCACATTTCTTGGCTTAGCGTAAACACGGATTTACATAACTACAATTGATTGAAACTGGTGTTAAATAAATTTTTCGTTGCCGTTGTTAACCGAGTGAGTGAGGTTTCCAGAAACCCAAAACCCAAGATTCGGTAGGGTTTGCGCTTAAAGGGCGGCAGCACACTTGTGTCTTAAGTGGATGTCTGACTTACTTATAGAATATAACTTTATTTGTTTCATAAAGCACAGCATACAAAAATAAAACAAAAGTTAAATAACAAATTAAACAAAGAAACTAAAAATCAAGTAAGTTTTGATAAACACGTTAACAAGGCAACATTTTTCAATGCGTCAATGAAATGTTACTATTACTTATCAACTAATACTTTTGTCAACCTACATATGTATCATAAAAAAACCTTTAATGTTGCTGAGGGTTGTACGCCGTATTTTAGAAAACAGGTGTACCCGAAGTGTACACTGCGATGGATAGATGCCACCTCAGGTCTAATATTCAGTGCCCACCTGAGTTGTCGCCCAGGTTACCCGTCTACTCGCATGCCTTTATGCTTTTAACATCTTTCGAAAATCATCGAGCAAATATCTTAAACAACAAAACTACCATCTAATTTCATATAATATAATCTCCCCGCCTCACTTTGTCCTTTAATCCCTACAAAGGTCCTTCTTCATATCGCACACTTATAGTGTCAAATGCTCATAATACTGTACAAAGAGCCTAAAAGCTGACAGATATTAATTCCAAACCTCAATATCAAAATTAATTTGCCGTTTATAAACACGAGTAGTATAATTTTGAATTTAGTGCTGCAAGAGTTAAGATTCACAATCGGGTAAGTAAGATTTTTAGTTGTGTCATAAAGTTGGTCGTAGGGCGACTATGCATTTGCTTTGATGTCATATTATCAGCGGGGTGTCGCCAATGGGATGTAATTAAAAATTGCAAATACTCGTATACAGTAGTTTATTTTATTTACATTTAGAGCATATTGCATTAGGTTTATTATAAAATTACTGCAATGAATTAGTGCCACGTAATCCAAAAGAAACGGAGTGTTTTCTCGTAATCAAACAAAAAATCTACATCTTTCTTTGACTTGAATTCTAAGACTCTATCTCGCCGAGATTTCAACCAAAAATTCGCTGGGTTCTAAGACTGCAAAATCATTTATAAATGTTAAAAAATTTAGTTTAGTTTTTAAAATGACTTTAGTCAGCAAAATATTAACGTTTACGACGTCTTTGCCTGTAAGTTTGTCTGTAGTGAGTGTAAGTAATTTGCTCTTTGACTTCTTGCAACACACGAGTCCTCTTTATCTTAAAGACTAAATACAATTTAGGATGAGAACAATTACTTTACTGTAATCTACTTATAACTGTGAGTAAACATAACTTTAATCAACACAAGAATTGTTCAACAAGAAATAAATTCAAAACCTCCCCATTTTACACAGATTCATTCTCATTCATTCATCAAATACATTCCCTACTTTGTAGGATTAAAGGCTTTATATAGCATCTCATTTGTTGGTAGGTATGTTGTTATACTCGTACTTAAGCGCAAGTATCGCTTATTTAGTTTTTGAGTTTTATACGTGTCTAGTGACTGGTATAAGTTTACAATTTTATCTATTTCTTAAGGCCTACGTCATCATCATCATAATCAACTAAATTTAGTTGTCCACTGCTGGAAATAGGCCTCTTCTATAGGAGGTTTTGGCCAACTACACCACGTTGGTCAGTTTGGTTGGTATTGGATTTGTTTCAAGTTTTCCTTCTCTTTGCAGTGCTGTTCTCCTGCGTAGCTTACTCCCTTAGTTGGGTCTTGTGGAACTCACATTATAAATAGGGGTAGTGACACTCCGTTTTCTTAATCCGTCACCACACGGACAGGCCTACGTAAGCTACATAAAATTGTTTGATGAGTTTGTTTCAAAATATTGTTTTATTTTCTAGTCGTATGTCGTAAATAAAACTTAGTTAGGGTAATACACATGCAAACCTTACTCGAAAAATCTAACTAATCTTGAAAACGTTATTAAAATCTGATGCGCGGTTTAGAAGGACTTAGCGGGTGTACAGAAAGACGCGTAAAGTTCATAAGTTATTAGACCCATCCGACACCCGACCCATTCCGGAGTGTACGCATGGTATAACCCTAACAGCTCGAAGCGAGGCGATACTAGTCTGACATTTCATACTATCTACGAGTATGTTAAGTATATTTTGTGACAATAACAGTGTGCCCTTTAGACTATTCTATTGCTGTCAATGAGCCTCCTCTCGGCAGATGAAATATTAAGCCTATACAGTGGCTCCGCGTAAAGGATTGACGCGGATCCACTGTATTATCAAAAATATCTTTCTCCAGTCATGTGAACGTAAAACTTTAATTTTGTAATACCAAACAATGGTCACGTGTGTGTGAATTTCAACCCTTGTACTATGCGGTAATTATGGTGTAATCATGGTGAGCTATGATGGATGGGGCACGCCTTACGATTTGTGGGTTTTTTAGGGATAGGAAGCTTATTATGGGAAAAGATTTAGCCAAATTGCTCGATGGAACTTAATGTTCTTTTGGAAAATATTTCATTATATCTTATATATTAAATTCTCATGTCACAATGTTAGTTACCATACTCCTCCGAAACGGCTCTACCGATTTTTATGAAATTTTGTGTGCACATCGGGTAGGTCTGAGAATCGGCCAACATCTATTTTTCACACCCCTAAATGACAATGGTGACCCAACCCTAATTTTTTTTTCAATATCTTCTAGAAATCATGTATATGGCAAAACAACGTTTGCTGGGTCAGCTAGATTCACTCTATAATTGCTCTTGTCATTGAAGATAGGTATTATTTTTAAGATTAGTGATATAAAATATGAACTTTCTTTTCCCTAATCGGACATCTTAAAAATTTAAACTTCTTTTAACATACACAGAGGTTCGGTTCTTGTGTAACAAACATGTTTCAACAAAAACAGAAATACTTCAAATATTTTGGAATAAAAATATTATAACACTTGTGTGAACATTAACTTGAATAAGACAGCTTATATTTACGGACGATATGTTAGAAATGTATGTAAAGTAATAAAATCTAAGAATTCTGTGAACGAAAATGTAAAATCAGCAAATATAAAAATACAATTTCAGAACGAAATTAAATCCAATTCTCGAAGAAAAGTAAGAAATCATTAATGATATTCTTTTGTTCCTACTTCCATTTGAGAACAATATAAATACGTGCAAATTGTAATATATGAGGGCACCTCCGTATACAATATTATATACCCACCCATCGCTATCAGTTTTCCAGTCCAGGAAGTATTTCCAACAAACTCAGACACCATTGACAGTTGCACCATTCATCATTGTAGTTGATGGGCTAATTTTGACATGCCAACCATACTTGCTTTCCGTTCGTGTATTAGGTTTGCATTTAATCTTTCCTGGGGCTTTGTCCGGTAATTGCTCATTTGTTACTCTTATGTCTTACAAATAATTATTATTTCATTAACCGGTTTATAAAAGAAGGTTCTCAATTCGCTTATAATATACCTCACATATCTCACACACGGATCCCAAACTAGACAGAGCCCGTGCTATGGCAACCAGACTGCTGATAAACATTCTTATACTTACATTTTTAAATACATACATATATATAAACAACACCCAGCTACAGAACAAATGACCGTGCTCACCACACAATATTTGTTCTGGGTGGGAATCGAACCCACGACCTCCGGCTTAGCAGTCAGGGTGATTCTCCTATGGCTCACCCAGCTTAGTCCATGTGGTGACGGATTAAGAATACGGTGTGTCACCACCCCTATTCATTCCGTCGGTATCGTAAGATCCGACTAAGAGAGCAAATTACGCAGGACAACAGCACTGCAAAAAGAAGAAAACCTTGAAACAAACCCTATACCAACCCGTCTGGCCAGCGTTGTATAGTAGGCCAAACGTCCTTTCTAAAGAGAGGAATATTTCCAGCAGTGGACTATTAAAGGCTGTTGATGATGAAGGCCTATTATAAAACTATAAATTGTGGGTATCAAATTAAAGTTAACTTGTGTTATTCTATAACTCTCCATATTGCAAATACCGCTATCTGCTATCTTGTATCCTTAATCTTTGTAAGAAAATTGATTAGAAAGCCAATGAAACTAAAACTTAAAGAGAAGACGGCGATCATCATCCATTTATCACTTCAAACCTTTTTATGCCTTTCTATTCAATACTTTTTGCGCGAAGATTAAATTTCACGTCGCACCCAAAGTCCAAAACCATTAATACTGACGGTCCAATTTCCTTAGACCTGCCCTTCCTCTTTAAATCTTTACAAAGTAGATCACTGTGAACTGGTTGTGTTCGTCCCTGTCTTGTCATTGAATTTTTTTATTTTTTTCTCGACACGTCTGGTCGGTGTAACTCTCTGATTATGATTTTTGCGGGTACCTAAACAACTGAAGGGATCGAGTGATATTTGATGATACGATACGAGAAAGTACTTTGTTTTTTTTTTATTTTTTATTTATTTTGTGTTTTTGGGGCTTGCAATTAATTCTTGTCTGGATGTTGAGCAATTTTTATTTCTCTGACACATGGTTTTGGCAGATAGTACGTATAATAAACAGAAATTTAAATAGTAATTTGTTTATTAGACTATATTATGACTTTCATAA